TCCATCACCAGTGTTGTTGCTTGTGTTAGATACAGTGCGTGCATGTGGGTGTGTGCAGTGTGTGATTCTTATAATAACCTATGACCGGTATTGTTAACCTCATTTAACAGAAAAGAAACGGAAACTTAGAAAAATTGCCAGAATTCAACTCTTGGTTTTTATAGTCGTCAAGAACATGCTCTCTCTATTCTGCAGTGCTTCCATTCACAACCTCACACCTGACCAATAACTTCCCCTGTTTTATATTAAATAAGCACAAGCGAGTACAAGTTCCCAAAAATAATTTACAGTGGAAGAACAGTTATACAAAATACAAGGATGCAAATGTTGGAAATAATAGTTCGAGTTTCTCCTTGCATCCAGACACACTGTGTGAGTTCTGGAGTCTGCCATCCCTCCTGAAGACAGTTCTCCATGTTGGCCATGAATTTCCAGGGTGTGACTTAGGTGACCATTTTCCTTGGATTCCTCTAAGAGTCATCCATGTGACTCACATAACTCTTTAGAAAATAAAGAACCCACCTAATGATTTGAAGAGGAGGGGGCAGCAATGGGCTTAAAGATGTATTTGCCACCTGACCAACTGAGAGTTATACGTAACTCATTGAATGAACGTTTTGTTATTTGTGACCACTGTGTTGACCTGAAATAATTTAGTAAGGTTAGAGAACTCAAAATACTCAGAGGGCTGGGCATGGTGGCACTCACCTGTAATCCCAGCACTTGGGAGGCTGATGCAGGAAAATCATCTCAAGTTTGAGGCCAGCCTGGGCCACAGGGCTACATAGTAAGTCCAAAGCCAATCTGAATTGCATACCAAGACCCTATCTCAAAAAAAAAAAAAAAAAAGATAAGAAAAGAAAAGCTTCATTACATTCCAAATAGGCAGTTTAGGGAAAATAAAATCTTAATGTCTGTATCTGACTTTTAATTCTGTGAAATAATCGTAAGTGATTACCAACCATTTTCTATCATACATTTGCCAGTTCCTAGATTTTTCATTTTATTGTATTTATTTAGTTGGGTTTTTTGAGACAGTCTCTTACTATCTAGTCAGGTTGCCCTTGAATGTACCAGGTACTCTAGGCTGGACTCAAAATTGCAATCCTCCTGCCTCCGCTACCCAAGTGTTGAGATTACAGTTGTGTAATCATGTTTGGCAAGGTCCTAGGGTTTTATATAACCAGAATCATTTCCTCTTCTTTTCAACAATGTTGTATAAAACACTCTTCAAAGCATCAGAAATTTTACCACACTTCAAAGCAGTCTTCTAAAATTTATTCATTTGTAGGGGGAGGAATTTGTAGTTTCAGACCATGTCATATTTAAAAGTTTATCTATTATCTAATTTTTGTCAAAACACTTACTGAAATCTGTGTAATAATTTCAAATTCTATCTTCCATTCTATGTTGGAACAAAATGTCAGCACTTAAAGTTATGGTCCAAATTTGGTGCACTCTGAGAAGCCAAAGCAAGAGAATCATAGCCTGGACAACTTAGCAGTTTAGTGACCCTTTCTCACAAATAAGCAAACAAACAAAAACACAAATAAATATTAAAAGGTCTGGGAATATAACTCGTGCAAAGGTCCTGCGTTCCATTCTCAGTACAAAAGAAAAAAAGCAGAAAGTTGCTAACCAAATTGTGTATATCTAGCAAAACTTAATAATCTTCAATATTCCTTCAAAGTTCACTGTTTTCTCCTTCAGGGAAAGGTTTTTATTTTTCTTTGTGTTATTTATATATTATATAAATATCAATTCTAAACAAATTTAGAATTACATTTGAATTCTAAATAGTACAGCACACCATTTCAAATAAGCCAACTTCTTTTAGTTTTTTTCTAGGACTTCTGCTCATGGAAGTATATTTATTTATCTGTAATCATAGCATAACATGATTTTATAGCTTTTTCACTTAACCTTTTGTAATAAGCAATTTCCATAATAGCATATTTCTTATATTTTCCAAATTCTTACAAAAGTGCATGTTATATATTGAATGGGCTACCGTAATTCACTTAATGAGTTTTCATTAGCTGTTCCTAAGCTGTGTGTGTGTGTGTGTGTGTGTGTGTGTGTGTGTGTGTTGTGTGTGTGCACATGCATGTGGTACTGGGAAATGAAACTGCAGCTTTTGCACTGAGCTATATCCCAGGTCCTGTTTTATTTGCTTGTTTGAGACAGAGTCTCATTAAGTCTTTAGTTGCCCAGGCTGGCTGAAATCCTCCTACCTTGGCCCCCAGAATGCTGGAATTATAGGAATAGTAGAGAGCAGTTAGGTCAGTGGAGGCCTGATCTTAAGAGGGAAATGGGAGTCCCAACCCCCTCCTGTCTCTCCTGTCTCTGTCTTTGCCGCCCTGTCACCGGGAGGTTTGTGGCCTCCTCTGTTATACATGCCCATCAAGCTGTGTGCTGCTGTCATGGCACAAAACAACAGGCCTAAGTGACCATGGACTAAACCCTCTAAAACTATAATCCAAAATAAAGTTTTCTTCTTTACAAGTCAGTTATCTCAGCTATTTGTCACTGTGATACAAACCTAACATACTTTCTCTTGGAATAATTCTCAGAACTTTAGTCAGGGAGTAAGTGATAGTGTCTATAAAAATATATGTTTATTTTTCCATAGCAGTGAAGGAGTGTATCGTTCCATAGCACCATCCTCAAATTATATTTCATCTATCTTTGAAGCTTTAAATTAATAGGCAAAATGATTCTTCAATTTCATTTTTTTCTCCTATCATTACTGAAATCAACATTTTCATACTTCATATTATATAATAAAATATTTTTTGTGTGCTACTAGGGATTGAATCCAGAGCCTTCATACTGAACTTATATCCCCAGCCCTTTTATACTTCTTTAAGACAGGGTCTTGCTAAGTGTGTTGGTTACTTTTCTCTTGTTGTTGAGACAAAATACTTTTTTTTCCAAACCCATTTTATTCCAATATTAAACAAAAAGAAAAAAACTACAACAAAATTTCAAAGCACATCAATCAGGGAACAATAATGATACACAATCCAGTTTTTTTGGTACCCGAAATCAAAGTCACGACCTTGCACTTGCCAGGCAGGCTCTTACACTGCTGAACTAAATCCTCAGCCCTTAACAATGGTACATACATTGCACATTGTCATCCCCAAATCATTCATCCAGAGCACAAGACATCTACATTCAATTGTCTGAACAATACCAGTACAAATCTTTCTCTTCAGCAAACTCAGAGAAATCAGTAGTGTAACTATCTTCATTATTTTTATATACATATACATAAACATATATTTTTTCTTCCATCTTGGCTAAGACAAAATACTTAATCCCCAAAGTGAAAGCAGGAAAGGTTCATTGAGCTCGCAGTTTGTGGAGGTTTCAGTTCATAACCAGCTGGCTCCAAGACAGAGTGGCACATGGCAGAGGGCTACAGTTCATGGCACTAGAAAACAGCGTCAGCAACCAGATCAAAGGAGAGGAGCTCGGAGAGAAGACTCTTTCTGTCCCCTATATGTGTGCAGGCCACATCCATTATCCCAGCGTTGGGCCATAAGTCAGTCACACACCTAGAAGCCTGCTTCTAGGACCACAAAAGGCTTTGAGGGGACATCTAGATACAAACCATAAGAGTAAGCTGTCCGTCCAGAGCTCAGACTTTTGATCCACAGGGCCTCCTCCCCACAAGAGTGCAAAGACTGTAGGCATGACTATAACATCCAACTACAATTACTTTTTATTTTTTAGCTGGCATGCTAACATACACCTGTAGTCTCAGCAGTTAGGCTGAGGCAGAAGGATCCAAATTCAAAACTATCTTAGGCTACATAGCTAATTCAAAGTGACTAAATGGCAAAACCCAGTCTTAAAAAATTAAAAGACTTTTTTCCGAGGCTGGGGATTTAGCTCAGCGCATAAGTGCCTGCCTTGCAAGTGTGCGGTCGTGAGTTCAATCCCTGGTACCGGTGAAAAAGAAAAAGACAAAAAAAAAAAAGAGACTTTTTTCAGTGATATTTTCATACTCTCTATTATGGTCTGAATGTTGTGTTCCTTCAAAACTCACATGTTGAAATCTTAGTGCCCCAGGAGATGGTACTAGGAACTGAGGTTTTGAGAGGTGATGAAATTACCCAATCACTAATGAGATTAGTGTCCTAATAAAAGACCTCAGAGAGCGCCTTTCCCTTTGACCATATGAAAACACACTGATGGAAAGCATCACCTGTTAATCAGGAAGGGGGTCCTCACCAAACACTAACTCTACTAACATCTGGGTCTTGGACTTCCTGATCCCAAAACTCTGAGGAAAACATAGCTGTAGTTTTCAAGTTACCCAGTTTATGACTTTTGTTATGGCAACCTGAAATAGGTTAAGACTGTCCATTTAAATATTATTAGATTTCTATTTTATCAATTCGTATGAAGTCTTTATGTAGTACTTCAAAAGAAGATTGTTTTAAAATGGTACTAAGTCATTCCCATGCACAGTCTTTTATTCTCTACTAGACAGAAGACACGGATGGTTATCTTTTGATATTTAATTGCTCTTCCAAAAATATTTACTGCATGCCTTTCTATGCTGTACCTTATTAGGTATTTAATCAATGTCATTTGATGCTGAAAAAATATTATAACAGAAGACAATTCTATCTACATTTCAGCTTGGTTACTAATCCCCTGGAAATGTTGAGGTTTCTAAGATTCTTCTACCTGGTCAGATGAGCCAGATGTACTTATTTAAGTTCTATTTTCTTTGTTTTCTAAGATATAGGTAAGAAATCACTACTTTGTAGACATTATCTATTACTACCTGGTGTGACTTTGTTTGAACACAAGGTTTTGGCGGGATCCTGGAAAGGCCTGTTGTACTTTCATTGTCTAAAACATAGTACAATAGGACTCAAAAAAAGGATGAAAATACTTTTACAATTTTAGATTAGGGGGTTTTTAACAATATATCCCAAATAAAGTTATGATGCACAAAAAAAGAACTCATATTCTTTCAGTGAAATCTACTCAGCTACTCAGCTCTACGAAGCTTCATTAAGCCAAAGGCTCACTATGGTGAGATGTTTCTCAGTGTTTCAAGAGGAATTGGCCCCACATCCCATTTTAATAATTTAGGTAAGTGCTTTCCTTATGTCTTTGCAGAGGGAAACACAAAACTCAGTTCTGTATCAGAATGACCATGTGTCTATGAGAGTTAAGAATAGCTAAGATGCTTGGCTGAAAATAACTGGGATCAGCTCTGGGGACTTAAGAAAAAGGTAGTTAATTATGTATAAGGTTGTAGGCGTGTGCCAATGTTGTCAAGGACAGGAACGAAACCAGGCAAAATAGAATTAAACTGAACACTGGCTGGGCACCTCTGTCTCTCATTTCTGCACTTGGGTTTCTATAGAGAAAGATAGGGATAAATAGGCAAACACAGAGGTTATTTTAGGGCAACGGAAATATTGTTTGATACTATGATGGTGGATATATATCATTATCAATTTGTATAAAACCCATGGAAAGTACCACCCCGAGCGTGAGTCCTTGTTTCATTTAAACTGGGAGGGTGGAGTGATAATGTGTCAATGGGGGTTCATCAGTCGTGCTGCTCTGGAGGGAATGTTGTAACAGGAGTCTATGCGCCCTGGGAGGCCGCAGGTATGCACAGGAAAGCTCCGTACTTTGTCCCCAATTTGCCAGGAACTTGAGACTTCTCTAAAAAGCAAAGTCTGCTTCAAAAATCTCTTTAGAGTATGCTACTGTCTTTGAAAACATTGTTAAGATGGCTTGATATATTTTATTTAGATGCCTAGTGAGAATCTACGTGAAATCAAAGAGTTTTTGTTGCTGTTTGATTTTATCAATTGGGACAAAAAAAGTAATTGAAATTGTGTTACAGCTCTACCGTTCTTTTTAAAAAATTAGTATCAATATGTGCTAACTCTCTATGTGTAAATAGGATTCACTGTGCTATTTCCACACATGCATGGGGCAAGCCTTGATCATATCTACCCACCCTGTTTCTACACCCCAACACACACACTTGGCCCCTTTTACAGGCCTTGGTAATCTTTTTAAATTGAATTTTTAGAGTGACTTTTTAAAGTTTCCTCATATAAGACAGAACATGTGATACTTGCTTTTCTGTGTCTGGCTAATGCTGCTTACTATGGTACCCTTCAATTCCGTTCACTTCTCTGCAAAACACAAAACTTTCTTCTCTAGAAGTGAATTATACTCCATCACATGTGTTTATGTAATACTTATTATATGTAATGTGTATATATCACATTTTCTTTGTCATCCATACAGCTGTTGACAGACATCTAGGCTGCTTTAGATATTGTGAACAGTGTCACACTCTGAATGGATATGCGGGGATCACTTTTGTGCCCTAATTTCCTTTCTTTGGAGATCTATTTGTCTATCTATCCATTTGTGTATCTCCTGGGTTACACGGCATTGTCTTCTTAAATTCAGTGTTCTGCCTTAGACGAAAAGTAGTGACACTGTCAGAAGATTAAAACAAAGGTACAAAATCCTACCCTCAACCCAACAAACTCTGGGAAGAAGTATAATAACTTTTTAGAAATTTGAAGAAAGGTCCTTGAAATCTGTGGAAGGTTAGCCTTGGTTTTAATTTGATGCAGTATATAACCTGAACTGATATAGCCTTGTAATTTATACTGTAAGCTTCTGGGGAAGGACTAGGTTTTTAATATGTACTTACCAGTTTATACTGCATTTCCAACACATGGAAAACTATAAATAAAGGTTAGGTATTGGGTATTTGGCAGAAAACCTTGAATCTAAGTATAATTAACTTTAAGAGCTGTTTTGGAGTCTGATGAAAGCAAGACATGAATGTTTCTCAAAGCTTCCCAGAACTAATGAGGAATGTATTGTGTGGCTGAAGTAAGCTCAAATTTAGAATCCATAAATGTAATTGTTTCATAGATGGCTCTTGTGGCTTTGATGTTAAAAGTTGTAAAAATGCTAGAATTTATATCAACAAAGTTGGATTAAGAGTTAGAGGCCCAATCAGATGTGGGGATGTGTTCCGTAATCCCAGCCCTCTGGAGGCTGAGGCAGGGGAATCCCAAATTTAAGGCCAGCCTGAGCAACTTAGTGAAACAGACTCTGATCAAAATTTTTAAAAAGTAAAAAAAGGCTAGAGATGTTCCTCAGTGTGAGGGCCCTGGGCTCATTCCTCAATTAAAAGTTGAGAAGCCCTAAACTTAAAACATCATGTATTTTAAAAAAAAAGAAAGAAGTACCTGAATCTTAAAACAAGCACCACAAAACCCAATAAGTTCTGTGATTTGTTTGTTCTGTAATTTTGCACAAGTGTTGAATTACTTCCAAATAATTGTGTGTGCACGTGCATACATGTAGATACGTGTGTTCAAGGGATTCTCCTGCTCTGCCAGGGCCCTAAGAATATGCATAATGGACCTTTGTGTACTATGCATGGCTTTACCATATTCTTCAGGATTGAGAATGGTGAGTAGACTGGGCCTTCGGTTCCAACTGTGGTAAGTAGCAATGGGGAAAGCTATACCCAAGGGTCAGGCACTCCTCTAGAGAGAGCTGTGCCCGGGAGCCTCCACCTGTACGTTAAGGCCCAGTTTCATACCTGAGCATGAGCGTGTAGCCCCTGTGCGATCCGGATTGAAGAGTAGGTGGATGGTTACAGAGGCCTCATGTGACAGTACCTAATTTCTTCACCTAAAACCCAGATTTCATTATTTGCCTTCACCCTAGATTTGGAGTACTTTTCTTAATTTTAAAAAATTTCATTAAATATATAAAGGTGTGTTGTGCTTGAATACCTGCATGAGATTTTTCTGAGATGGAAAATTAAGGAACTAATATTATCCTCAGAGTTAAACTAATCAGATATAAAATTGCAAAGTGAAAAATAGGAAAAAATTACTTTAAAGACATGCAATGGCTCCAGATCCCTGCACTCGGATTTTAGATATTAAGGGTAGAATCCAAAAGAAATGGAGGTTTATTCACCTGGGCAGATTTTTATAAAAGTTTATCTCAGGGATAAATGTTGGCAGCACCCAAGTGTGATGCTGTGAAAGACACGTTTGATCTTCATCCCGTCTCCTGCCTGTAAAATAGAGCTCCTAACACCCAGAGCGATGAATGTTTCATGTGCTGCTCCAAAGGAGAGGGCAGAAGCCTGCGTCAGTCACCCAGGGCCAGTGATTCAGCCAAACAGGGCTATGTAATGAAGCCTCCATAAAACTCAAGGGCACCAAGTTCAAGGGCTTCCGGGTAGGCCTGGGCACGGCGGCTCAAGGTATAATCGCAATCCTCGGAAGGCTGAGACAGGAGGATTGCTGCGAGTGTGAGGCCAGCCTGGGCTACAAAGTGAGTTCGAGGCCAGCCTGAACTGCATGGTGAAACCCTGTCTCAAAAAAAAAAAAAAAAAGCTTCTAATGGGGGCTGGGGATTTAGCTCAGCGGCATAAGCACCTGCCTTAAAAGCAGGCAGTCGTGAGTTCAATCCCCCAGTACCAATAAAAAGAAAAAAAAAAAAAAAAGCCTCTAAGTAGTGGAGTAGTGGAGGGCCCTGGAGGGAGATACCTGGAGTCTGCAGAGGTGCAGAAGGTCTGTGTTCCTTCCCACACACTTTGCCCTGTGCATCTTTTCCATCTGGCTGTGCATCTGTACCCTTTATTACATTCTTTCTTTATTTTGGTGGTACCGAGGATTGAACTCAGGACCTCGTGCTTGCCAGGCAGGCTTTTATACCACTGAGCTAAATCCCCAGCCCTATTACATTCTCTATAATAAATGTGTGGCTATAAATAAGGTGTTTCCCTGAGCTCTGAGAGCTGATCTGCCAAATTCGTTGAGCCCACAGAAAGGGTCACAGGAACCCCTGTTGGCCAGAGGTTCTGGTGGCCCACACTCGTGACTGGCCGCGGAAGTGAGGCACTGTATTATGGTACTGAGCCCTCAACCAGTGGGACCTGACACTGCTTCCAACAGGTGTCTGTCCACAGGAGAATTTCTTGCAAAATGAATCATTCACTGTATATGTGGGGGACACAGAAATCTCTTGTTTTGTGACAAGATAGTGTGAGGAACTGAGTTTGTCTGTCCTGTGTCCTTACACTATCCTGCTAGTATCTTGGGAAGAGAAAATCTCAGGCTCATATGTATGGTTCCTTTGGCAAGGCTACATTTGTTTTTCACTGTTGTTTTGTTTGTGTTTTACGGTACTGAGAATCAAACTTAGGACCTCATGCTGGCCAGGCAGCAGCTTGTGCCACTGAGCTGTCCCCGGCAAGGCTATATCATGTAGCTTACAAGGAAAAGTATCAGTAAAGACTTTGTTTTTGTTTTGTACTGAGGATCAAACTCAGGACCTCGAGCTTGCCAGGCAAGCACTTAGCTGCTGAGCTAACTCCCCAGCCCAAGGACTGGTTAGGTTTGAAGTACTAGTTTGGCCTATAGGACTGTGATAATTCTGATTAAAAGGAAGGATATGTTTGTTCATCTGCCTCTACATTTGTTTCATGTGAAGGGTGCTCTCAGGTAGACTGACAAATGGGGTTTTTGAGCCAAGAAACCTTGTGGACCAAGGAACATAGCCTTTGATCTGTTGGAGGGCCTGGCAGTGAGTGTGACCAACTCAGCTCTATCCTATCATCAGGACCCTAGCCGGAGTTCACTTGTCTGGACTAGTTAAACATCCAGGATGCGAAGGCCCGTTCTATGAATTGCAACCTCGTTTCATCAGTGCGTAATCCAAAGCAGGTGATGACCATACAGCAGCACCTCTGTTCACAAACAAGTTAGTTTGTAAAAAGAAGTGTTCGGAAAAATTTTGCTTCTATCCATGAACTCTGCATCAGGTGACAAGCGCGATCCTGGTCACACAAATCTAAGTGTGACCATCTACCCTGCTCTGCCTCGTGGCCGTGGCTTGCTCTCTGGAGCCTGTGGTTGCAGACAGACCTGCACACACTTTCTGTGAAGCTTTTTGTGTGTTTTTTTAGCACACACAGTACTGTATTATTCAGCCCATCATGGCTCCCAAGAAAGCATGGTGGTAAAGAGAAAGGGCACACAGTGCTAAAAGCACCGAGAACATGCCAAGCCGTCGTGGCTGTAACAAGAAAGTGCAGAACAAGAACGGTAAGAAGATTTTACAGAGAACAATCATTGAAACGAAGAAAAATTGTAGAAAAACATGCGCGTGGCGTGACTGATCTGGCCTCAGAGTACAAAATGGTGAAGTGAACCATCTTGACTATTTTGAAGACTAAAGATGCCATGAGAACAGCGGATGAGGAATAACAGCGTCACCCAAGCAAGGGCCCGAGTGCTGGAAGAGGTGGAAACAGCTTTGCTCCGGTGGGTCGTTGAGACACAGCTGGCACGTGGTAGCCTTAGTGAGGCTCTGATCTATAACAGGCTGGGAAACTGCATGATTTACCGCAAGAAGACCCTGCTCCAAGTGCAGTAAGTGATGAATTCAGAGCCAGTGGAGGTAGCTTGATAAATTCCACAAGCGAAATGGCCTCCACAGTGTGATAAGCCATGGGGAAGCTTCCAGTCCTGACCCGGCCACTGCAAAGTCTGCAAGAAAGAATTCATGAATTCACGAAGGCAGACGGATCCGTCACTCAACAAGTGTTCAACTGAGATGAAACAGAGCTCTTCTGAAAAAGATAGTAAACAGAACCTAACACCCTGGAGGAGAAGCCACTGCTGGGAACACGACCACAAAGCACAGGCTGACCCTTCTGCTGTGCGAACACCAGTGCTGATCTGCAGAGTAGGCCATTGCTGGTCTGGTGGATTAAAAGCTGGTGGTCAACTTGTAACGCCAGCCAAACTGCATCGGCGTGGGGCTGAGCACAGAGGGTCCACCTGAGGACATGCCAGCATCAAAAGAAGAAGGAGGGAGAGAGAAGCACTGTGGGTTCTCCTAAGCGCTGTTGTTTGGAGCCGTTGGTTCTCCTGCAGGAGCTGGCCTTGCGGGCTCCCCTGATATGAACTCAGCTGTTATCACTGGAGGAGCTCAGCCCTTGTTGCTGAGAATAGCTTGCAGTTTACTTTTGGGGAGTTTTGATCCTTACACTTTGAGCATCACTCCCTGGCTCCGAAGGGGAAGGTGTGTGCTGTTATCTCCAGGAGAAGATTGTCACACAGGCTTCCTGATATGTACTTGACGGTTATCATCAGAGGAGCGCAAGACTTTGTTGTCACTGGGGATGGTTGTGGCATTTTTCAGGGGAGCCTGGGTCCTATTTTGAGAATTTCTTCTTTGCTCCAGTGCAGAGCCCTCAGCCTACTGGCACAGATCCTTCACCCCACTGGCATAGACTTGCTAGCTTCCACCACTGACCTTGGGGCCTTCCCAGCTCACCTCCATGAAACAGACAGACTTGCATGAGTCATTGTCGTGGGCTCTAGGTCTTCAGCTGGACTCATGCAGGATATTGCATGGGCTCCAAGGCCCTGGCTGGATTCTTCAGGTCTTTAGTGTATGCACAGATCTCCTCACGTCTTGTATTTAACTCTTGGGTGACAATTACAAAACAGTACTATAATTATGTGTCCTGTGTGTAATTGTTCTCTTTGCAATCCCTGACTACAGCAACTGGTGTGCCATTCCCACACCTCTCATGCGTTTAAGGAATAGACAGTGAACAAGAACAGGCTACCTGTCATGTGCAGGGCCAGTTTGAAAGGCTGGGTCACAAGGCAACTGTTCATGGAATGGTTTGTGCCCACTGTTAAATATCTTCTGACAAGCACATACCCGCAAGGGGCCTCCTTTGGATGGAGAGTGCCCTGACACAGCCTCCAGCCAGTAGGGGATAAGGACACTGAGAATGACTTCATAAAGGTCCAGACGCCCTCCCCGCCCCCAACACACCCCCTCTTCTCCAGCCCATGGACCAGCAAGTTGTCTGCAATGGCAAGAGGATGTTCACAAAGGCACTCTTCACCAGCTCGTGGTGTCTGGTGAAGGTAGATCTTATTTATCCAGTATTTATAGTTAGTGCCAATAAAAAAATTAGAGATATAAGTTTAAAAGGACAGCAAAATCCAACAAAGTCCTTTCATTGGAAAGGGGAGAAATAAGGAGATAGACCTTGTGGGTCTAAGGTAGGGAGTCCAGAGCCAGTGTTCTGGATCTTTGTCCTTAGCCTCTTTTATTATGTGGTGAGAGGGGACTGTCCTCTTTGAGAGCTGTGGTCACTTGATTGATTTTAGGTGCTGAGACTCCTGCCTTGGCCACTGACCCTGTCCAGTGCCTATGTGCAAATTCTTGGGCAAGCTCATTTGTCTCACCAAGGTGTTGTCTCTAAAATTTAGTGAGAGCCTCACAAAACTGAGTTAGCAATTAAATGAGTGGGCATACATACATTTTAGTGCAGTAACATGGTGTGAGAATAATACTACATATATGTATTTATATATAGGTTGGCATCTAGGTACACACACACACACACACACACACACACACACACACACATATATATATATATATATATTTTATTATCAGTACCGGGGATCGAACTCACGACCGCCTGCTTGCAAGGCAGGTGCTTATGCCGCTGAGCTAAATCCCCAGCCCCCAACAAATATATATTTTATATCTTAAGTGAGTTTTCTGTAATAGCCTTCCCCCACTTTGTCTCCTTTGCAAATAAGTAGAGGTGGCGAACAATGAATTGGGGCTCTGGTGCCAGGCTTATCCGTTCCCTCTGCTTCTCTTAATTGTTCTCTCCGGCAAGGAAAACAATTTCTACAATTTTCTTCTTTCCAGTCAAGATTTGCCAGAAGGCCTTTACCCTCCCCTGCTTGTTCCCCAACCTCCCCTATGGGGTGTTTTAATGTCACTGAAGAGACCCCCTTGACTTTGAAGGGGCCCTGGAAGAAACTGGGAAGGCCCCAGTGTCCTCCACTGCATCGACCTCGCTGACAGAGCCTGGGAAGATGGCCCATACCGGACTAAAGCTCAGAATGGGGACACTGTGGCCAGAAGGTGTCACTGAACGTGCCTTGAAAGTGTTGCCGCACAGGCAGTGCAGGCAAATGCGCCCCCCGGTGTGGGAGAGCCGATGAACACTGAGGCTTACCTGCCCTCCTCGGTGAGCAGACAGGAGAAAGGCCCCAAGCCGTGCCCCTGCAGCACCCCAGCCCGACAGCACGGCTGGGGTTCCAGGGAAAGTGAACGTGCCTGAGAACTAGTTGTTTACCTGGGCACGTACTTTAGCTAATCGCAGGCAGATGAATGTCCTGGTACTCTAATCTTTTGCTTGTTCCCATGTGTGAGCAATCAAGGTAAGCTGAGTCAGATGCTCAGGGCTCTTAGTGCACCAGAGGCAAGACCCTGCTGGCACCCACATGCTGAACTAACTGTCTCTTTTTGTCTTTCATCTTTGTTTGCCCCCCAGCCCTGGTCAGGGACAAACACATAGGCTGGTTTCCTCCACAGGGGCCGGAGTACTGATCTGGAGGAGGACGGGGCAGGCACAGAGGCGCTTGTTAGGAACGGTGAGGAGGAACGCACTGAGCTCCAGGGCAAGCAGCAGAAGCGCTGGTTGAGAAGCGTCCACTGACAGGGAGCAGGGCAGCAGCGATGTGCTCAATCCGTCATGGAAAAACAGAGTGAGTGCCGGGATTTCTCTGAGAAGCACCAGGGCACAAGACTGTCATGAACAGAGTACTGACTCTGAAGAACGATAACGTGGTCTCTCGATTCTGGAGGGTTACGCGGTGCAGGAAAAATTAAGTGACATTAGACAGATTTTTCATCAAAACTGTCCCTGAAGGAGACCTCCCTGCTGTCCTCGTGGAGGACGATTCTTCCTGCAAGCAACCTCCTCCCCACCCACCTTCCTGTCCTCAGCGAGAAGTCACCTCAAGCAAATTAGAGTTCTCTCTTCATACCACACTGTCCTGCATTGGAACGTACTTCGTTTCATATTTCTGTGTTAAAAAATGCATATGGCTCAGAATAATCAACCTCACTTACACTGAACTTCTGGCCCCTTGATGAGTTGAGAAGCTGACTTGGGAGTTTATCTCTCATTTCTATCGTTGGCCAAAAATAAAGTTCTTTCCTACTGTTCTGTGTTGGTGCTCAGTCTTATTATTGGTTACACAATTCTGAAGACTAAAAAAGACCCAGTTCGGGGAAAATTGTTAGATCCTCAGATATATTGACAGCCATCTACGTGGACACCCTGCTAGATCTCAGAGGAAAAGTATACGCGTGGAAAATATGAACTAACTTTCTTATGGACAGCAGGACAATGAAAACATTGCTCAAGCTTTGAGTCCTGGGCGTGTGCTTGACAACCGAAACTTCAAGGTCCCCAAACACAGACTCTCACCTGAACACAAAGCGTTGCCTCTACTCTGGTTAAATTCTTAGCACAGTATCCCTGGCCTTCTGCGTGATGCATAACATCATGCATAACAATAAGGACATTATTTGCTGTTTTGCAAGCAGGGAATTCGCCTTGATTCCCACTCTAATCTTCTGCGGGCCTGAGCAAGGCTTAGACAGAAAGCAGGTCCCCCAGGTCCCTCTGCCCGCAGGGTCACGCTTTGATCTTATCATAGGCAGGAATGGAAAAGAAAAGGAATGGAAGAGAAAAGAAGCCGTTTCTCCATGAACCCTAAGACCACCTCCTGTCCCCAGATTTTGGTCAGACCCTCAGAGTCCTCTTCAGCAGGAATTGGCCCCCGTTCTTGCTAGAACTGCCCAGCCCAGTTTTAGAAAAAACTCGGTAAGCCAGTTTACGCTTGCTATCTGATCATCCTTGTGCCTGATCATATTCTTCATCCACCACTTTTAATGTTTAAACTCGTTGCTTGCCTTTTGGACGAATCTTTTCGAGTTGACTTAGCAAAAGTCTCCCTGTCTCATTGTGTTTAAGAATTGAGCCAGGTCGCTTTCCCCCACTGCAAGACACCCAGAATAAAGTCAGCCTTACTGTGCCACCAGTCAGAATATTTTTTTCTTTAACAGTACTGGCAAATGCAGCCAAAGTTACCATTAAGAACTACTTTTTAAATCCAGCTTAAGTAGGAGACAGAGAAAGGACGCTCCACGCGTAAGCAAATGCTTTTAGCCTCTTAGCTCCTTGCATTCTTAGTAAAACCCCAGTTTGTCCTTGACCAGGAGACATCCCGCCCCTGCTCCCCACAGCAATGACTTTGAGAGAGGAAATCCTCGCGCGCCCCCTGGAGGCTAGAGCGCGCATCTAACATTTATGGGCAAATGGTGTGTGGGTGAGGGGTGGTTGATATTTCATCGCTAAAAGTCAGGAAAACAGTTTTGCTTTCTCCTTCTAGGGAGCTTCGCAGAGTATTACAGATGTCCTGTCTACACCTTAGGCAGCTGGTTTTGCAATTGTTGCTCGTTCTCCTCTCGGGACTCACGAAATGTGTGATTCAGGCCACTTTGAGTTTTCCTTTAATGTTACACCTAGGGAGCCGGAGAATCCCTGGTGGGACGTTCTGTGAAGCCCAACCTAAATGTTTTTCCAAGTGTGTTCTGTGGGCCACCTGCATAGAAATATCCCGGAGAGTGTATTTAAAATGTTTAAAGAGGATTTCTGCGCTGTGCCCCATAACCTTATGAGTCATGGTTCCCTGGGGTGAAGCCCTTCTTTTAGGTATTAAGACCACTCTATGTACTGCTTGAAGGTGTGTCTCCATTCTAAATCTCGTTTAAAATTCTACTGCACAAGCTGAGCATGGTGGCACATGCTAAAACTGTCCCAGGCGAAACCCTGCTAGTTTGAGACTACATAGTGAGTTCAAGGCTAGCCTGAAACTGCATAGCAAGACTCTGTCCCCAAAAATCAAAATAATAAATAGATAAACTGCACGATGCTATAATCAAATTCATCGGTTAGGATTGTATACACAGTAAATTCAATATAATAACATAAATGTGTCAACCTTTTACCCTGAAAACAGAATCCAGCAAACACTTTTCCCTACTCAATCTTCTTTTGACTCTAAATCCTCAAATACATATATTTCTTTTCATTTTTTTTTTGTTTTGATTTTGAGACAGTCTTACTGTGTAGTTAAGGTTAGCCTTGAATTCAGTTATGTAGCCTAGGCTGGCCTTGAACTCATGGCAATCCTCCTGCCTCAGCTTCCCAAGTGCTGGGATTACAGGGGTGAGCCACCACGCCTGGCTCAAATATATAATCTTATTTTGTTTCTTTTTTCTATTTTATTTGTAATTATTTAATCCTTTATCCCCAATGTGGGTTAATCCAATTCAAATCTTTCAACTGTTCCATTTTCCAAAGTTCCGGGGAGCCGTCAAGAATTCCTCTTAAGAAATTTGTAGGGGCTTGGGGATTTAGCTCAGCGGCATAAGTGCCTGCCTTGCAAGCAGGCAGTGGTGAGTTCAATCCCTGGTACCAAAAAAAAAATGAAAAAGACAAAAGAAAGAAATAAAGAAATAAAGAAATAAATTTGTAGAACCTAGGCCACTGTGTGAAAATAAAATTGCTTAAAATCTAACTGCCTTCTCTTGAGAAGCATGTTTAAAGTTTAAATTCATAAGCTTCCGTCTCCAAACACTCCGGTTTGGTAGGTCTTGACTGCAGCCAGGACCTGTATCTAAGCAAGCATCCTGAGGTAATCTTGATGTAGGCGATTTTTACACTACATTTCAGAGACAATGCCTTATATGCCGGGGATTCCTAACAAATACGTTTTTCCAGGTACTTTACAACCTCAAGAAAAACAGTGGGTTTGGGATGATAAACAGAGGCTATAGTTTCACTGTTTTGCTGTTTGTTTTGTTGTCCGCAGAAGACACCTTCTTTTTTCAGATCAACCCAAACTGGGCCTTCAGATGTGTCCTGACAGACCCGTTACTCCCAAATGTTGGGGCGGATAAATGAGGAGTGTATTTAATATTTGTAAGCAGGTGGGCAAAATATTAAGGCTTGCTGTTTGTTTCACCAAGATGTTAAACCGTCTTAGAGCTCACCACTTATGGCTATAAAACTTTGGAAATATTGTTGGGACAAGTGGCTATTTGGGGAAATAAACTTTCATGCGGAAAATGTTGTCTCAATATTTTAAATTAAAAATGTATAGTCATATGAATAAATGGTATAAAAGTAAATACAAGACTTTTTGATCAGACATGAGAATTGTAAATTCAAGGCCAGCCTAAGCCATGTAGCAATTTAGTGTGGCCCTGTCTCAAAATAACAAAATTTTAAAAAGGACAGAGGTTGTAGTTCAGCGCAAAAGCTCTCGGTTCAACTCCCACTATGACAAAAATAAAAGTGAAAAGCACCACAGAAGCCAAGATATTTTCCATAAGTAATAACGGAGGAGATTCTTCCAGGTCTAGGTGAAATCAGTCTGAAGGAAGTCATCCAGAGAATGTTAGTTTGGACTCTTGGCTTCAGATAGCAAAGTCCACCTAATTTAAACACCTGGACAGTATGAGCTGAGAACCCGAAGCACAAACATCAGGTAGCACTGGAGACTCAGAAACTCCGGCTCTGTTCCCTACAGTTATATTTTCTCTGCCTTCCTCTTGTGTGTTGAATTCATCTCAGGCTCTGGCTAGGTCTCGCTCCCTCAGAGGCTGTCTCAAGAGTGAGAGAACTTTTTCAAGAAGCTTCTAGAACCTTCTAGAAGCCCCTGGTGGATCTCCTCAGAGTACACTGGCCTACATTGGATCATGAGCCTTCCCTAGATTCACGCTGGTGGCCAGAGAAATGGCGTATGCTGGTCCAGAAGGGAACCTGAGAAGACAAACAGTCTTTGAGAGGTGGTGATTTGCAAGATCCCCTTGGGGGAGGGAAGAATTACCTCTTCACCTCTGCAGTGGACTCTGGCTGTGGCCTTCGAGGATCCTATTCCTTTTTCTGCTGCCTGAAGTTCTGCATATGGCACTTTCTTCAAAAAGCACTCGATAACCATGTCCCTTAAATTCTTGAATGTTAAAAAAATATATGTATCAGTCTATTGATTTTTCATGAGAATAACAGTCCAATCAGGGATGATCTTTTTGGAATATATTTTCTTTCCTTACAGTCTCGTATATAGCACTCTGGAGTCTCTTGGGTTTCTGTGTAAATGTCTGATAACACCAGATTTTATTTTTTCCTATAAATGACTTTATCTTTCTCACCTAATGCCCACAGGTTTGTTTTACTACCATTTGCTAAAGTGTATCTCTGGTTCAATTTTTCCAGTGATAGATGTGTCCTTTCAATCTGTAAGTTTAAATGTTTTGTTTCTGAAAATTCTTTTAGTTTTTCTAAACTTAGAGTTTCTGTATCTTTAAACTATTTTGGTTCTGTCAGAGACACAAGTTAGGGATACAGTTGATCCCTATTGTTCTGTTTATTACTGTTTTTATTTATATTCCCTGTAGGTCTGCTAATAATAAATTCTTGTTTTTTGGTCTTTTTCTTTTTTACCCTAGTATCGGGGATTGAACTCACGACCACACACTTGCAAGGCAGGTGCGTATGCTGCTGAGCTAAATCCCCAGTCCCAATAATAAATTTTTTAAAATAAATTCTTTTAGCTTCTGTTTATCTGAAAATTTCTGTATTTTGCTTGCTTTCTTCATTGAGAGAGTGTCTCATTATGTAGTTGACCCTGGATCAGAGCTCACTATGTATTCCAGGCTGGCCTCAGACTTGTATTTGTGGTTATTTGTTTGTTTTTGAGATCAAGTCTCATTATATGGCCCAGGCTAGTCCTGAGCTTACTCGGTAACCCAGGCTGACCTCAGACTTTCAGTGGCCTCTTGCGTCTGCCTCCAGAATGCAGAATTATGGGCATGTGTCACCACACCTGGCTTCTTCATCCTTTTTTTAAAAAATTGTATTCAATTTCTTTTTATGGAAAAATATGCACAAAATAAAGTGTGCCAAATTCAACATTTTGAAGTGTGTGATTCAATAGTGTTGAGCACATTTAGATTGTGGTGCAACCATCTCAAACATTCATCCAGGATTCTTCATCTTACAAAAATTGCTATCTCCATTAAACCCCAACTTCTCACATCTAGCCCTGGTTCCTGGCTTTCTGTTTTGAAGTTTGACTATTCCGAATAACACAT